GATTCCCAGTTCTTACCAAAGACCAGAATTTGTGGGATGGTGGTTATATAAAGTTGTGAGTCTTCTTTGATTTTTATTTCACCTTGTAAAATACTAGTCTGTGGTTCATTTTGGCCAGAGTTTTGGGGCATTTTCACAGTTGGTTAAAGGGCCAAGGTTGTTTTTCCCCAGTGAAAGAGATTAGTCCCTATTCAAGTTGTTACAAGGTTACTTACTCATGCAAATAGACAATGAGCTCAGTAATTGTCCCCTGTCCCCTGTCCATGCCAGCACGGATCACCACCAGTACGGAAACACTCATGTCACAAGCAAGGCTCTTCATTTCAGAAGCGAAAGGGAGGAGCAATAAAGTTTAAACTTGGTATTACAGATTTTGTTCCAAGGTCATGTTTACAGATGTGTATAAAAATAGAACTATGCATCCCGGATAACTGCTATGTGAAGAATTCTGATAAAATTTCTGTTCTTTCTTTGAAAATCACATATACAACACGCAGCATATGATTTCAGGGAGTTGGGGAGGTTCTCACATGCCCGCATTAGCCCTCCAGGACTCTGCAGACCCATAAAGCCCTTCTTGAAGAAGACATGCTTATACAGATAAGGACGTTTATTAAGTCAACATATGGGTCAGTCTCTGAGCTTTGTTTTGCACACCGAACCAAAACAAAATAAGATATGGCTTTTCACAAAGCTTTCAATCCAATGGTTTAGCTAACATATTTTCTAACCACATGCATTACATACACAAATACCCAAATGCATCTGTATTAAATGATTTGGTAGAATATAGGTTTCATTTTTATTGTTTTAATGCACTGGGTGCATACAGTGTGTGTGCACAAGTGCATTCACACACACACACACACACACGAGATATTTACTTTATATGTGGGACGAGGCCCTGTCAATTAAATGCAGGGGCCAGTAACAAATGTCACATCCAATAAATACATTCACAAGTTTCCAGAAATAATTCCTGAGATGGATTGTAATTGAGGCTGCCTCCCAGGGTAGAGAGGTAAGCAAGGAAGAATGACATCCTTGTCACAGTGTAAACTGCGAGACATCCCGATTCTAGAGCACTGTGGCAGAAATGTCTCTGCTGGTCATAGACCATCACAGAGCAAATGCTTTCCAGAGCTTATACATCCTCAACTGTGGGGACTTCAGTTGAAACAGAAATAAATTATAAAATGTAATCTAGAGATAGTGGAAATGAGACTAGAACCAAACTTTGAATATCAAGCCCAGTTAAGTATTCGTAAGCCTCCCCTATGAGGATGAGACAAATAAGCTAGTATGGGATTTTTTTCCCATGTCAAAATGACAAAATTCCTGAATCTATTAAAATCAGAAAGAAAGAACTTATTCAAAGTAAAAAGTATTGTGTTGATTTGGTATATCCCTAAAAGATACATGACCTGGAATATAAACAATGGGTCCCACATAATTAAATGGTATCCTAAATAATACTGAAGGCACAGAAAAACAAGAAGGGTCTCAATCAAAGAATGAGGAGAGAGGTAACATCAGATATTGGAATTCCTAGAGCCACTGACCAGCCTGGAACCTGAGTTTAATAAATATACTCTCTGCTATGTTTGCTAATAATACCTGACTACTCTGATCTCTCTGTGGTCTTTCCTGCTCTCCTTTTCTACTTTTTTTTTTTTTTTTTTGACCTGAAGCAAGTACCTTGAGGAAGAGGAAGAGGAAGAGAGAGAGAGAAAGAGAGAGAGAGAGACACACACACACACACACACACTGAATATGATACTGAGAAAATCTCATTTTTTTTTTTATACCCAGTCAGGTCTGGCATTATACTTAGATCCTTTATTTCAATTGGTAGGTAATTTCTTTTTTCCTGTTTTGTTTTGACAGGGATAACTTTTCAAATTAAATCCTTTATTGAATTTTCACTCTTGGGTAGTTCCTGAAGATGCTGCCTTTGCAAAAAAAGTAAAATAAAATAAATAAAACTAGAACTGATCTATTTCATGTCATGTGGAAGCTGAGCCTGAGATGACAGCCTGGTATTATCAACCTTCATGGCTGCAGGGGGCAGAGGAATAATGTTGAGTCAAAGAAAACGTGCGGATCAGGGAAAGCAACAGCCTTGTTGTCTTCAGGATAGGGGGTTATGTGCGTTAGATGCCACAAGCCAAAAGCAGTATTATCCCCAAAAGCTTCAACATGAAAACAATCTGGGATGTTACCAATTCCACCTCTGGCTTCCTAAACAAGAGGTGCAGTCATGGGAGACAGACCCTAAAGCTCTTTCATTAGGTTTTTGTGATGGGACTTTGTTACTCTAACATGTTCCGCTGACCAGCAGCATTGGCGTTGCCTGAGAGTGTATTAGGAACTCAGACTTTCGAGACCCTACTAAATCAGAATCCACATTTTAACAAGATCCCTAGTTGGGTCATCTCAAGTTTGAGATGCCATGCTCTAAAGTTTTCTGACAACTTAGGAAGTGACGTGGTAACCCTGACAATTGGTCAACTATGTGTATTCATTCAGTCAACAAATATATATTAGGCTCCATCTACATTTTACATGGGGGCATGTGCTGAAGACACAATACTGAACAAAGATACACATGGCCCCTTCACTCCTAAAATTTAAAGACTGGTGAAGGAGAGATGTTCCAATCAAATAATCATGGAAATGGAATGTAAAGAGATTGAGTAATGTCAAACTGAGATGAGCACAATAAAGAAAAAGAAGAGTTCTGGGGCACCTGGGTGGCTCAGTTGGTTAAGTGTCCAACTTCAGCCTAGGTCATGATCTCATGGTTCATGGGTTCAAGCCCCACATCAGGCTCTGTGCTGACAGCTAGCTCAGAGCATGGAGCCTACTTCAGCTTCTGTATCTCCCTCTGTCTCTGACCTTCCCCTGCTCACACTGTCTCTCTCTCTCTCTCTCTCTCAGAAATAAATAAAACATTAAAAAAATTTAAAAAAGAAAAAAATAAGAGTTTTGAACTAAAGCAAACAAAAAAGACACTGGTTTAGACTGGGAGTTTTGATATTGTTCGATGGCTACACTGATTGTTATCTTTGAGGGAAGCCAGGCACAAGGTAGAGGGGAGCTCTCTGTACTAGTGTTTGCAACTTTTATGTGAGCCTAAAATTATTTCAAAATAAAAAGTTTAAAAAAATGGAAGTGACGCTTACATCTGAAACATTCATAGTGATTCATTACAATAAATGGGTCAGGGAAAGCAGAAGAGATGAGGATATTCCAGGCAGAGGAACCAGCTGGTCTCAGGGCCTTGGGTGAGACATAGGACCCCGCACATTACAAGAACTGACAGCATGCCCACGGGCCTGTAGACAAGGAGTTAAGAGAAGACGGGGAGAGAAGCTAAGGAAATGGGCAGCCACCGGATTCTGCTGAAAGTATAGGTCAAGGTGAAAACTATGGACAGGTGTCCTGAATCGCTCTGCCTGAGTAAAAGGTTACTCTGGCTCTTGTGTAGTAAAAACTGGATCTTGCCATCCAAGACAACCTAATCAGTTCTAGAGCTATGGAGGGGTCACCACCAGAGAGAGCCCTGTGAAGAGGTGGGAAAAAAGCTCTAAACTGCTGGGTGCATTCTGTGTTGGGCATAGTGCTGGGCATATTACATATGGCTGTCCTGCCTGAATTTTTAAGGAGGAAGGTGATAGTCAGCTTGGACCCTTAACTGTCCCCCCATTAATTCTGCCAAAGGGGATGCGGGACCTCTAGAGATGAAAAATCTCATGCTGGGTGCATAATAATGAAGTAGGTGTGCTTTCTGGAGAGTTTGGAGTACAGTTTGCTTCTTTTAGCTGTGAGCTAGTAAAGTACAGGTGTCTTCTGCCTTTGTGCTCAGATGAGCTAAGGGCAAGTGGACAGGTACAGGGAACGGTGATGACGAAGTTTTTGAATTGTGAGGGGTATGTCTCAATAATTAGATTACCACCCTCTGGCTGGGCAAACTCACTGCTCTGTGTTCAGTACAGATAGTCAGTTCGCTTTTTCTTCTCTCTACTTGAGATTTCATTCTTCCCCCCATCTTTTCTTCACCTGTTCTTCTTCTACTTTTCTCTTTCTTTGATCCCTTTAACCTGTGGTGCCCTATCCTAGGCCTGGTGCTACGCCTCCACGCCTTAGCACTTCTGGAGAGCCTCTGGGCCAAAGAAGGGAGAGGAAACTTATGTTACTGTTGTCTAATTACATTACTTAAACTAGTTGTGACTTGGCTTCCTCATCTGTAAAATCAGGATAACAGCCTACAAGTTGAGGTGGGGATTACTTGTGATAAAATACTGAAGTGATCGGCCTAATTCCAGGTACAGGGTAAGTGCTAAGTGAATGTTAGTTTGTACAAGCACCATTATTAGTAACTTACTTCGTTTACAGATGAAGAAGCTGAGGCATAAAGAGCTTAAGCAGCCTTTTTCAAGTTACTAAGTTTTCATGAGCGAACTTTTGAGTCATTCAGATCCTGAACTGCAATTTTTTTCAGTTTCATGTACCCAAAGCCCTAGTCTCGACACAAAGCATAGTCCCTCCCTGCAGCGGGCCCAACTGGGTTGCTATAAGCTACCGATGCACCAGCAAACTAACTCAACTGATGTGTCCTTCAACTTGTTCATGATGAGGGACACACAGGATGGTTCTCTTGTCCCCTGTCCTTTCCAAGTGCTTTGGGACTTTCCAGACAAAACAGTGAGATATTGCCTAGGTGGTATCTGATAAAATCAGGAAAGTGGAAAAACAAATGAAAACAAAACAGCAGCAGTAACATAATACTGACAATAACTACAAAAATGTCAGAAAGAAGCTATTGGGGAACTTTCCCATTACCGGGAAAGAAAAACACCTCAATTGGATGTGAGATGTTGGAAACGATTAGGACAAGTCTGGATCATGAAGGACTTGGATTATGGCCACTGTGATTTCCCTAAGACACAGACTCGGCTCCCGGCAGGTTAACGTCACAGAGGAGAGGAAGTACTTACGACCATCTATAGTTCTGGCCTCAAGGTGCACAAGGTCTGGTTCCTTGTTTGATCCCATCACAGACCTGAAACATGGACAAAGAGGAAAAGGAATACCAACATGAGTGACTTTATACATGCCTTCGAGAAACTCAGCTGAGCCCACAGACTATTAACGGCCACCGGATTTAACAGCACAGTCCTTGGAATACATCTACTGTGTTTACTCATACAGTCTGACAGTAAAATTTCCACTTCATATAAAAACGACAATGAAACTTTTATTTGATGAAGGCTGGGCTTAACTCTGGCAAAGATGCTGTGTGTTATCAGCTCAGACTTGCAAATAAGTCTCACACATGGCATATGTGGCCTGTGACAGTCTCACTGACAGTGTATTAAACTTTCAAGACTTATCAGGCAGATGCCAAGCAAGCTGCTTTCTTTAGCTGGGTGACTTGAACAGTGAATTACATTGCTGAGTGATCTAATTAATTTTTCCATTTGAAATTAGCAGAACTACGTCCTACTGTCCTACGACCTAGGAACGAACCATGCAATCCAACAGATGCAGTGGCCCGTATGTCACAGAGCGACTGTTCTCTGTACTGTTGAACTGGAGTGAGAGGAAAATGCAGATGGACCTTACTTTAGGAAGAGTGCTCGAAACCGTATGTGTAAGTAAAATAAAATAAAAAGGAAAATAAAAGTCTATTTAAAACGTCTTGGAGGTGCATATTATTTAGTGTAATCTTGCAGTGAGCCATACTAAATAGAAAATAATTCTTCTGTTACCTAAGTTGTAATAGATAGTCAAATGCTGCATAAAAGAAGCAAGGAAATGAGCAGAAGGAGGGAGACGGGAGGGTGGATATAACAGTCTGTGAGCTCTTTGAAATAAGCAAATTAATCATTGTCCTAAGGGCATTCCCAGAACTCTTTCTTATTTGAACTCATTTTCTCAGCTCAAAGAGTCTGAGGCATAGCTGGCTTAGTCTCTCTTCATCTTAAGAAAAGAAGTCTCCTAACAGCCCTATTGTCACTGTCAGTAAGTTTTTTTCTGATTGATACATGTTCTGAAATTCAAAGTATATGCTCAAAACGTTAAACCCCGCTTTCTTCTCTCAGGAAGCAGAAATGTCCTAATAAGGGTTTTATAATTTCCCCCAAAGAGACAGGGGACACGCACTTGGACACTTCCCATCACTGGAATCTGAATACGGGCAGTTGGTGACATTCTGACCATCATTTCCGTTAAATGCTAGAGCTCTTCCAGGGACGGTGGTTCTCCATTTCCCACACTGAAGGGCTGACTGGGTCCACACGTGACCTCTTCTGACAAGGCCACAGTCATAAGACTGAAAAAGAAACAAGGTCCCTAAAAACCTTCAAACTAGAAATCTCAGCAGTTAACTGGTTTTTGTAAATTATTAGTAGGCAGCTGCACGCTGTTCACCTCCCGCCTTAACTGCCATCCTGAGTTTCTTCCTTGACATGACTTGCTTCTGTTGATCCCAGGAGAAGGCTGGCCTCCCGGAAACAAAGTGTTAAAGCTAGCATGCAGACCTATCTGCTAATGGTGAATGTCAACGGGAGAGGAAATAATTATCCTGCATCCAGTTGCCTCTTTCAACGTGCTCATAGCCCCAGAGCAATAATAGCAGTTGTGTTTTAAGATCTTTTATACTATGTCTAAAGGCAGGAGCTGTTGTACCAAGCGACTTCCCCTCTTATCAATTCACAGAAAGAGACAGGGACTACACAGAATCATTTGTTTCTCAGGGTCTACTGTGGCTAATAAACTCCTCTTAGCCTGCATATTTTCACCCCCACCTGTAGGAAAACAATGGCAACAACAAAATACAACTTTAAAGTTAAATGACAATGTTTCCAACAACTTTTATTGCTGATAAGCTCACCCCTCTTCCTAGGATCTAGGAGTAACTCCAGATCTGCAGTCACAGATTTTAAAGAATTATTGCTGCTTTTACTTTGTGGCACTGGTACATTCTCAAAAGCTGAAGCCAAACAAGGCCAACTGTCTGCAGAGGTGCTGGTTTTAATGGTCTTGTCATTGACCGTACACCTTGCACAGGCACATCACTGCAGCTGACCACAAAGTATCATTCCCTAGCCCATTTATACATTTTACTTGTAACTGCAGAGTCTGGTGGTTATTCCTGCATAGTAAGACCAATTACGGTGCTTAATGATGATGGCAAAAATAATAATTGGGGGTTTTCAGGGGTTGTGGGAGCGAAAATGGGGACAGGACGGTAAAAGGATACGAAGTTTCAGTTATAAAATGAATAAAGTTTGAGGATGTAATGTACAACATGAGTACAGTTAATGATACTGTATTATATAACTGAAACTTGTTGAGAGTGGAACTTAAATGTTCTCACAAAAAAGAAAAGAAAAGAAAAAAGCAGCCAGGAAACAAAAGTGAAGGGGAAGGGGAAAGGAAAGGGAAGGAAAAGAAAGAAGGGTAAATATATGAGGGGATAGATATGTTAACTGAGTGTGGAAATCCTTTTACACTGTATATGTTTCTCAAATCATCACACTGTATACTTTACATATATTATAATTTTATTTGTCAATTATGCCTCAATGAGGCTCAAAAATAAGAGCAAATCAAAAAACAGCATAAACATAAAATTTAATCCAAAATATTCCCTTGATGATTTCCTTTTCAGAGTGAGATCTCAAGAATGGCTTCAAGTATCCCTATCCATCATGATAGTAAGTATGACTTCTGGCATTAAGCACAAAGGGCTGCACACCCTTGCTTTATGCTTCTAGACGGCCCTAGACATAACCTGTCATGGTTCATAATGGTTTGCTGGATCTCTTTGTATAAATGTCTCTCTTACTTCATTGAGCTCCCATGAGGCAGGTGTTCTGTTTTTTTTTATCACTGAGTTCTCTGTGTTCACCAAAGCACAGAGAAGAATGTTTCCTCAGGAGACACACAGACAACATTTTCACAATGGTCAGAATCTACTATAATGTCTGATATACTGTGTTGTTCAATTCTTGGGCTCAAAAAGAACCTGTCTGTAAATGTGAGAAAAAAATGTTTGATCCAGGATCCTTTAATTATATAAAGAGGCAATAAGTGGATATATATAACATATCTTTATATTGTCTGTATATCTATTTGGGAAAATGAGTTTGCTTCTTGAACTCAATTTCACAGAAGAGCAGGTAAGCTTCATGCCTTTGTATGTACTGAGGTCTCTGTCTGGAATTCCCTCTTCTTCTTTTGCCTTCTAACTCTATTTTTAATTTACTTTTATCTTTTAAGATTTAAAAATATTGTTTTCAGAAACAGGGAGAGGGCAAGCATGAGTGGGGGAGGGGCAGAGAGAGAGAGCAGAGGGGGAGGGGGAGGGGGAGGGGGAGGGGGAGGGAGAGAATGAATCCCAAGCAGGCTCTGCACTGTCAGTGCAGAGCCTGTGTGGGGCTCAAACTTACAAACCATGAAATTATGACCTGAGCCAAAATCAAGAGTCAGACACTTAACTAACTGAGCCACCCAGGTGCCCCTTAACTGTATTAAAAAATACACACAAACACACACACACACACACACACACACACACACACTTAGTTTCATGTCTACAATATAATAATTCAACAATCGTATACATTTCTCAGCGTTCATCAAGATAAGCGTACTCTTAATCTCCTTTAACCGTTTCATCCATTACCCCACCTACCTCACTTCTGGCAAACACTAGTTTGCTCTCTGCATTTAATAGTGTTTTCTGTTTGTTTGTTTCTCTTTTTTTGTTATTGTTCATTTGTTTTGTTTCTTCACTTGATCTTAGCAAAAAGGCCAAGAAGCGATTTTTGTTTTGTTTCTTAAAAATTATATATGAGTGAAATAATATATTTGCCTTTCTCTAAATGACTTATTTCATTTAACATAATACCCTCTATATCCATCCATGTTGCTACAAATGGCAAGATTTCATTACTTTTTGTTATGACTAGTATTCCACAGTATACATATACCACATATTTATCCATTCATCTATCAATGGACACATGGGTTGCTTCCATATCTTGGCTATTGGTAAATAATGCTGCAGTAAACTTTACAACTATCAGAATGGTTAAAATAATTTTAAAAAACACAGGAAATACAAAGTGTTGGCAAGGATGTGGGGGGAAAAAGAAGAAACCCTTGTGCACTGTTGGGGGGGAATGCAGATTGGTGCAGCCATTGTGGAAAACAGAATGGTTTCCTCAAAAAATTAAAAATAGAACTACCATATGATCTAATATTCCATTACTGGGTATTTATCTTAAGAAAAAGAAAACACTAATTCTAAAACATATATGCACCCCAGGCCTTCTTAACTCTTACAGTCTGTGCACTCTTACAGGCCCAGTAGCAGATACATGAAGTTGAAAATAGACTTTCCAATGAAGATACCACCTACACTAAGTTGGTCACCCCTTCTGAGACTTCCAGAATGATGCACATACTTTTGCATGGCATAAATTAGGCCATGTGTCAACCAGTGACTTCATTTGTCTATTCTTACTAATCAACAAACTCAAACCTTTCTATATTTCCATGCCAGGCACCATGCATGCCATGTATAGATAGCCAATAAATGTTTACTGAATGTTTTTAGAAAAAGCAGAAGTACAAACTAACATGCAAACATTCATCAATGTATTTTTTTATTAAAACTTTTAATGTTTATTTTTGAGAGAGAGAGAGAGAGAGAGAGCGAGCGAGCGTGCAGGGGAGGGGTAGAGAGTGAGGGAGACAAAGAATCTAAAGCAGGCTCCAGGCTCTGTGCTGTCAGTACAGAGCCTGATGCAGGGCTTGAACCTGTGAACTGCAAGATCATGACCTGAGATGAAGTCAGAAGCTTAAATGACTGAGATACCAAGCACCGCTATGAATGTACTTGTATATGTGAAATTTGGCAAGTTACTTAACATTTCTGTACTTTCTACTATTTTTTATTGATAAAGTGAGGCCAAAATAAGTTTACCTAAAATAGGTATCTTAAAGCACTTAGCTGCTTCCTTGTACAAGCAAGGGCTCAGAAATGTAGCT